CCCAGCTGGTATTCAGAGAGCTGGAGAATTTCTTGGTGTGGAAAAAATCCACACATCTGGTGTCAGAAGTGTTGTGTGAGAGTGAAGAGAAAGTTTATTTTCTGAGACTCACTCTTTGATAGCTCCATCCAGAAATGATTCAGTTCCCTCTCTTTGGGGATCATGGTTTAGTTAGGGTCCTGTTTAGATGACAGAACTATAGGTTTAAAGAAGCTAAACCATTTGCTTACGGTTCATCCTCCTGAACAGTACTTGTTACTTATATTACATTTAGGCAGTTCATTTTCCCACCCCAAGAACTTTTGAGGACTACAGTTGACCCCTGAACAACACATTTGAACTGTGCAGTTCTGCTTACATGTGGATTTTCTTCTGCCTCTGCTGCCCCTGAGACAACAAATCCAGCTCCTCCTCCTCCTCAGCCTACTCAACCTGAAAACAAGGATGAATACAACTTCTACTTACTGTGTTTTGCCTCTCATCCACAGTCGCTTTCTCCACCTTTTTGTCTATTCACTCCAACCTGATATCCACCCACATTGCTTAACTGTAAACTGCCATACCAGTGTCACTGTGAAATTTGTCCCCAATTAGGGTCGACACCATTTCTGGATCTGGCCACCCTTTGATTCTTTAAATCATAGTAGCAAAGAAATTTTAGGATCCTGACAAACAGGTCAGTAAACTGGCAAAGGCTTTCACAGGCCCCAAATTTATTTCCTGGAACATGCAATGTTCAGCCTAGATTTAGATACTACCTACATAGCTTTCATCCCTCCATCTCAAAGTAGACAACTTCGAGTGTTTGTGTGGTCCTGAGCACTAAATTGACATTGCTTATATCAGGACTAGATGAACTTCAGAAGTTTGCCCCATGGCCTAGATAGATTATTATAACTATACAGTTCAATACTGAAAAGAGCTGTGACTTATATAATACTGTATTCCAGGTGCTACTCTACGAGAGTTAAATGTATTCATCAGTTGAACTTTTATAAGGAATTTCCAGGTCGTCTGTTCCACCAGGATACTGTGAGAGAGAGAGAGGACAGACATGCATTTATGTGAACCCCAAGAGGGCCTGGGTATTTACAGCTTTCTGCTATTCAATTCCATTAGCTCTGGGATGAAGTTCTGTGTTGATCCTTTAAAAAAGGAGGCAACTTTTTTCCAAGATTTGAGACATATGGAACAATTTGGCTATCTGGAAAAAAAAACAAAACACAAATCCTTGAAGTAGGAGATTCATATTTCATGAGGCAAACATGCAAATCTCTGTTTAAACAAGTCCTGGAATAGTCCTCATAAGTTTATTAATATTTATTTCCATAGTAGCTAAAATAATGACATGGTTCCTGGAGGAGAACTTATGCCCCAAACAGTCACCAAGAACTGCTGGTGCTACATTCCATGCTGCTACATTCAGTGTCAGAGTTTTTGTTCTCACCTCCCCTGACCCAGCAGCAGCATCCAACAAAGTTGGCCTTTCCTTTTTTTTTCCCCCTTTGGTTTGTGTGACCAATTTTGGTTTCCGTCCTGCCTTCTTGGCTGTTCTTTCATTGTCTTCTTTGCTGACTCCACTCTCTCCCTGACCTTTTAATGTTAAATTCTCAGGTCTCTAATCCTTGGTTCTCAACTCCTCATTCTGTACGCTCTCCCTTGGTGATTTCAACCCCACTCCTGTCTTCAATTACCACAAACTTGCCAAAATTTATACATCTAATCCCTACTACCTTTCTTAGCCCAGAACTGTTTATCTAAGGCATATCTCACATCTCTATTTATTTCTCTCACAGGTACTTCAAGATCAATTATGTCCACAACGGAACTCTTAATCTTGCCCTGATATCCTGTTGCTCCTGACAGAAATTTGGTTCTCACTTGGACACCACCTTCTCTTTCAACATATCCCCATTCAATCTGTCACCAACAATCTTCCTCATTATTTTTCAAATCTATCCACAGTCCCCGAGCCCCCACCTCCACTGCCACTACTGTAGCCTAATCCTTTGGGGTGAAATTCAAAATCATTACTCAGCAGCCTGCAGGATCTGTCCATCGCACACCTCTGCAGCCTCAGTTTGTGCCCACATCTCTCTTGTTCTCTGCCAGGGTTTTGCTCTGTTTCTCAAACATTTCAACTTTCTTCTCACTTCAATTATTTGTCTCCTCCTGTTGCCTGTTCCTGAAAAGCTACTTCTCCAGTTCTTTGCTTGGATAGCTCTTTTTCATTTTCCAGGCTTGCGGCGGTGGCGGGTGGGGGCGGGGGAAGGAGGGGGGTGGGGAATGGGGAGTGGGGAGATGGGGGGCGAGGGATGGGGGAGCTAAGGGCACTTTCTCAGGCAGCCTTTCCTAGTCCTGGGCTAGGTTAGCTTTCATTCGAGTGCTGTCATTCCATCTCCTTTTGGCACACTGTTAAATACAGCTGTGATATGATCTGTTTAACTGTAAGCTCCTTGGAGTTTTGTGTCTGCCCTGTTTTCTAGGGTTTCTAGCTTGTAGCTCAGTGCCTGGCTCATAATAGGTGTTCCATAAATGGTTGTTGAATGAAAGAATGATGATGGAGGTGGCATTCCAACTCGGGACTGCCTCAGAGCCTGGCGTTTTCTCCTCTGCCACTCTGTTACCGTGTTTTAGAGGCAGATAGTGAGTGCGGCACATGCCCAGGGCAAGCAGCTGGATTGAGCTTTAAGCTGGTTTGGGAAGATGAGCACGCGGTGGGTCTGAGCCGCTGAGGGGCCGGGAGCCGCCTGGGGGCGCCGCTGCCCCAGCGGGACGCGCCAGGCCTAGTCGCCCGCAGGCTCGGCCCCAGGAAAGGCCCCGCCAGCCCAAGGCCCGGAGGACCAATCCCCTCGATCCCCGCGGGGCGGAGGTTGTGTTGGCTGGTGAGGCCAGGAGGGCCGAGCCGCCACGGTGGGGCGAACCTCCCGGAAAGTTCCTCTCAGTTTTTTCCTGTGCGCCTCGGCTCGCCCATACCGGGGCCTTGAGGGCGGATTCAAGGCCCTGCGAGAAGCCATCTAAGGCGGCGGCAACTGTTCTCAGTCCCACAGGAACGGCGCGGACGCAGCGTTCCTCTCCCGGACAGGAAAAGTCATTCTAGGGTAAGTTCCTCTCCTTTCCTTGTTCTTTCCCCTTTCCCGTGCCCATGGCAGACCCGAGCTGCTTGTGGACGTGGGTTCTGTTTCTGAAAGGCGTGAAACCTCAGACATGCCCTGCAACCTCCTGGTCTCCGTTTCTGCCTGTAGAAAGTGGGCATAACAAGGGCTAACTCACTCACCTGAGGTCTCAAGTGTGGCGCCCAACCCAGCAATATCAGCATTTCCTGTAACTTTACCAAAATGCATATTCTCTGGCCAACTCCAGCTGATTGAGTCAGAAACTCAGTGGTGGGATTCAGCCATGTGTATTTGAACAAGCCCCAGGTGATTTTGATACAAGCTAAATTTTGAGAACCGCTATAACAGAGACCAGTAAGATGAAATAAATAAAACTATTATATAGAAAAGAGTCTGGAATATAGTAGATGCTCAATAAATAGTAGTCATGGTTATTATTATTTATTCCAGGAATAGAGACATATTCAGTGACACAGAAATCGAAGGTTAAGCAAATTGCACAGATGCTTCTTTTCCTTCTTTCCTCCCTCCTTTCTTTGTTTCTCTCTCTCTCTCACCTCTCCCTACCTCCTTCCCTTCCTCTCCTTTCTTTTCCTTTTCTTTCCGGAGTTTCACTCTTATTGCCCAGGCTGTAGTGCAATGTCGTGATCTCAGCTCACCACAACCTCCTCCACCCGACCTCAGGTGATCTGCCCGCCTCAGCCTCCCAAAGTGCTGGGATTACAGGCATGAGCCACCATGCCTGGCCCTTTCCTTTTAAGCAGGTCATTATAGTCTTGCTTAAAACACACACACACACACACACACACACACACACACACACACACACACAAAATAAATATCCATATGGCTTGGATATTTACCCACTCCAAATCTCATGTTAAAATATATTCACCAATGTCAGAGGTAAGGCTTGGCGGGAGCTGTTTGGAGCATGCGGGGAGATCCCTCATGAATGGCTTGATGCTTTACAGGCAGAGTGAACTCTGCCTCTGAGCTCGTGAAAGATCTGGTTAAGAGTTCCGTCTCTACTAAAAATACAAAAAATTAGCTGGGCATGGTGGCGCGTGCCTGTAATCCCAGCTGCTCAGGAGGCTGAGGCAGGAGAATTTCCTGAACCCAGGAGGTGGAGGTTGCAGTGAGCCGAGATTACACCATTGCACTCCAGCCTGGGCAAGAAGAGCGAAACTCCCTCTCAAAAAAAAAAAAAAAAAAAGAGTGGACATTTCCTCTTTCTCTCGATTGCTCCCTCTGTTACCATGTGACACTCTGGCTCCCCTTCGCCTTCTGCCATAATTGTAAGCTTGGTCTCACCAGAAGCTGATCAGAAGCTGATGCCATGTGTGTATAGCCTGCAGAACCATGAGCCAAATTTCTTTATAAATTATGCAATCTCAAGTATTCCTTTATAGCAACCAAACAGACGAACACAAACATATACAAAAAAAAGCCTCTCCAACAACAAAATAGGTATGTAACTGTAGCTTCTCACACGTAAACTTAATATTTCTTTTTGACATACATCTTTTGACTTCTTTGAAGAGCAGAACATGGCTAATGTTAAAGGTTTTATAATTCTAATTATTTAATTCAAATTTCAGCTTTCATATACTGCAGTTATTTTTAATTTGAACAATGTAATGGTTGACCATGAAAAATTAACCTTATGTAGGTGAAAGGTACAGATTTATTTCTAGAGAAATCCAGCTTCATTCCTATGTCAGATTTTATTGATGGTCTTTTCCTCTTTATTCATTGCAGAAACTTCAAAAAGGACACACTAGATTTAATTAGTAATGTTAAGATTGCCCAAAAAAGGAATACCTAGACTCGATCAAGTTCAAGATGAAGAAACCTTGCTGGAAAATTTAGCAATACAAAGAAATGCATCTGCTTTTTTTGAAATATGATCGGAGTGAAATACAAGAGTTAGTAACTACTGCACTAGTTAGCTGGTTGTCTACCAGAGAGGATGGTCACTCTCGAGTAGACATGCCATGTGGAATTATGAGTCAAATGAATAACACAGGCTTCTCCACTGCAATCCTGACTCCTGTGGACCCTACTGCCCTCTTAGACTATAGAGAAGTCCATCAGATAATAAGAGAGTTGGCTATTGGAATTTATTGCTTAAATCAAATCCCTTCCATCAGTTTAGAAGCTAATTATAATCAGAGTTCTTCTTGTGGGTTACCTCCAGCTTATTATGATACCAGAATTGGGCAAATTCTGATCAACGTTGACTATATGCTGAAAGCACTATGGCATGGAATATACATGCCCAAAGGAAAACGAGCTAGATTCTCTGAATTGTGGCGTACCATCCTGGACATTGATCCTGATGGAAAACCTCAAACAAATAAGGACATTTTTACAGAGTTTAGTTCAGCAGGTCAGAGAATTTAACACTTCTTAAGTTTTTTTTTTTTTTTGAAATGGTATCTTACTGTGTTGACCAAGGTTGTCTTGAACTCCTGAGCTTGAGCCATTCACCCACCTAGGCCTCCGAAAGGGCTTGGATTACAGGGGTGAGCCACTGTGCCTGGCCACTTCTTAATTATTTTTATTAAAAATCATTTAAAATTTTTTAAAATTTTATTTTGATAGTTTTGGGGGGAACAGGTGGTTTTTCGTTATATGGCTAGGTTTTTTAGTGATTTCTGAGATTTTGATGCACCTGTCACCCAAGCAGTATACACTGTACCCCAAGTGTAGTCTTTTATTCCTCACCCTCCTCCCACCAGAGTCCCCAAAGTTGATTATATCATTCTTATGCCTTTGCATCCTCATAGCTTAGCTCCCATTTATAAGAGGGAACATACAGTATTTGGCTTGCCATTCCTCAGTTACTTCACTTAGAATAATGGTCTCCAGCTCCATCCAGGTTGCTGTGAATGCCATTATTTCATTCATTTTTATGGCTGAGTAACATTCTCTGGTGCGTGTGTGTGTGTGTGTGTGTGTGTGTATCACATTCTCTTTTCTTCTTTTCTTGTTAGAGATGAGGGTCTCCCTTTGTTGAACAGGCTGGTCTTGAAATCCTGGCCTCAAATGATCCTCCCATCTTGGCCAACCAAAGTGCTAGGATTACAGAAATGAGCCACTGCACCCAGCCACCACATTTTCTTTATCTACTTGTTGGTTGATGGGCATTTAGGCTGGTTTTGTATTTTTGAAATTGTGAATTATGCTGCTATAAACATGCATGTGCAAGTGTCTTTTTCATATTGTGACTTTTTTACCTCTGGGTAGATACCTGGTACTGATATTGCTGGATCAATCTACCTTTAGTTCTTTAAGGAATCTCCATACTGTTTTCCATAGTGGTTGTACTAGTTTACATTACAATCCCACCAGCAATGTGGTAAGTATTCTCTTTTCACCACATCCATGCCAACATCTATTTTTTTTTATTTTTAAATTATGGTCATTCTTACAGGAATAAGATAGTATCTCAGTGTGGTTTTGATTTGAATTTCTCTGATAATTAGTGATGTTGAGCATTTTGCATGTTTGTTGGCCTATTGCATATCTTCTTTTGAGAACTATCTATTTCATGTCTTCTGCCCACTTTTTGATAGGACTGTTTGTTTTTTTCTTGTGATTTGTTTGAGTTCCTTGTAGATTCTGGATATTAGTCCTTTGTTGGAAGCATAGTGTGCAAATATTTTCTCCCACTCTGTGGGTTGTCTGTTTACTAATTTTTTTTTTCTTTTCTGTTTAGAAGCTTTTTAGTTTAATTAGGTCTCATCATGTTTGTTTTTGTTGCATTTGCTTTTGGGTTCTTGGTCATGAACTGTTTGTCTAAGTCAATGTCTAGAAGGGTTTGTCCAAGTTATTTTCTAGAATTTTTATGGTTTTAGGTGGTCTTAGATGTAAGTATTTAATCCATCTTGAGTTGATTTTTGTATAAGGTGAGAGAGGAGGATCCAGCTTCATGTGGCTTGCCAATTATCCCAGCACCATTTGTTGAATAAGGGTGCCCTTTCCCCACTTTATGGTTGTGTTTGCTTTAGTCAAAGATAAATTGGCCATAAGGACTTGGTTTTATTTTCATATTCTCTATTCTGGTCCATTGGTCTATGTGCCTATTTTTATACCAGTACCACATTGTTTTCATAACTATAGCCTTGTAGTATAGTTTGAAGTCAGGTAATGTGATGCCTCCAGATTTGTTCTTTTTGCTTAGTCTTGCTTTAGCTATGTAGGCTCTTTCTGGTTCCATATGACTTTTAGGATTGTTTTTTCTAGTTCTGTGAAGAATGATGATAGTATTTTGATGAGAATTGCATTGAATATCTAGATTGCTTTTGGCAGTATGATCATTTTCACAATATTGATTCTACCCATCCATGAGCATGGGATGTATTTCCATTTGTTTGTGTCATTAATGATTTATATCAGCCATGGTTTGTAGTTTTTTTAGTAAAAATAGTTTACCTCCTTGTCTAGGTATATTCCTAAGCATTGTATTATATTCTATTGTATTGTATTGCACTGTACTTTTTGCAGCTGTTGTAAAAAGTACTGAGTTCTTGATTTGGGTCTCAGCTTGGTTGTTGTTGGTGTACAGCAGTGCTACTAATTTGTGTTCATCGATTTCATATGCTGAAACTTTACTGAATTCCTTTATTGGATCTAGGAGGTTTTTTGGATGAATCTTTAGAGTTTTCTAGGCAAATGATATTATCATTGGCAAACAGCCACAGTTTGACTTCCTCTTTACCAATCTGGATGCCCATTATTTATTTCTCTTGTCTGATTGCTCTGGCTAGGACTTCCAGTACTATGTTAAATAGAAGTGGTGAGAGTGAGCATGCTTGCCTTGCTCCAGCTCTCAGGGGAAATGCTTTCAACTTTTTCCTGTTCAATATATAATGTTGTCATTGAGAGCTTTTATTACCTTGAGGTATGTCCTTTCTATGCCCATTTTGCTAAGGGTTTTAATCATAAAGCAATGCTGGATTTTGTCAAATGTTTTTTCTGCAGCTATTGAGATGATTTCTGTTTTAGATTCTGTCTATATGATGTATCACATTTATTGACTTGCATATGTTAAACCATCCCTGCATCCCTGGTTTGAAACCCACTTGATCATGGTATATTATCATTTTTGATATGCCATCAGATTTTTTAAGTGTTTTGTTGAGGATTTTTGCAACCATGTTCATCATGGATATTGGTCTGTAGTTTTCTTTTTTTGTGATTTTTTTTCCCCTGGTTTGAGTATTAGGGTGATAAAGCACTTTATTGTAAACACACCCAGCACTATCCCCAGGCACATAGTAGTAGAATGACTGGATTTGGAGAGGTTCCCAGCCTTATTTATAAACAATTTTAAAAAGATTTGAGGCAGAGAGCGGTCAGAATGCTGTTGCAGTGGAAAAGAGTGTTCTATATTATAGTGTTACAGTAGAGATAAGTCAAAGTAGATGATTTTTAGAGATATTTTAAAAGTAGAATGACAAAACTCAAGACATAAGTTTCATACCAGGAAAGGACTGATTTTGGCTGATATGCATCAATAACACCACATTGTTAAAATATTGAACCCTTCAATTGGAAAATTGAATTACTGCAGCCCCAAGCTCGTTGAATGCCTCCCTCCCCAGGGATACCCTGAAAAGCTCCATGATCCAGAAAAGGGTAAATATGACAAGCAGGAGGTCTCTGAGATCCTGCTTCAGCACTATGGCTAATGTCTATTCTTATTGGTCAGTGCCAGTGCTATGCTGGTGGCTGTTTTGAGAATCACCCCTGAAAATGTAGGTGTAGAAAAGACAGCATTACTCTTTTGGTGCTCTCCCTTTCCACCTACAACTTGATTAGAATGTCCCTATGTGTCTGATCCCCTTACCAGGTTCACCACTGCAAGGGAATCCTCATAGAGGATGGCCCTCAGATATGACAGACAGCTGGGTGAAATAGACCAAATCCTGGGCCATGACGTTGCTTGATGTAACTAACTTTGCCATCAAGTAAGCAGGAGTCGGAGTCTAACAGCCGTGGCAGAGAAGGCTCAGGACAAAAATAAGTATCCTGTGGTGCACTTGAGGAAAGGTGCAGTCAGGTCAAGCCTGTATGGAGCAAAAACTACAGTTTAAAAGTGTGGTCTGAAAGGATGTGAGGCAAGGAACAAAAGATGGCTGGTACACAGTGTGACTCATGTAAATTTGGCTGTAGCCCTTTCTTCCAAGCTTAGTGTCAGAGATTGAGGGAGTGTACCCCATCTCCACTGGTATGATCAGAGAGCTGATGTCCAAGCTTTGTAATTGCAGCTACATGGCAGCAAGCTAGAAGCAGTGTAAGTTGTTACAACACCATTCATGTTTGGGAAAACAGCAACTCCTCTCTTGGCATGACTGGGAAACTGGGTTCATACCCTGCACCTGACCATATGATTATCTTAAACACTGTGCTACAGTGGATTTCCAAGAAACTGTGTAGAAAGCCAACTCTTTCTGGGAGGGCATTTCAGTTTTGGTCAAGTGAACCTTTACCTCTCACATAGCTTTGCATTGTACAAATCACCAGCAACACCATTCTTTAAAAACGGTAGCAATTGTAGAGAATAGAGCACCTCAAAAAATCTGGTCATGTTACCCAGTTTTCTCAGCAGGGATTTTAATCAGGGTGGATCCCTTGATCTAATTGTCAAATTCTTGGACTCTTTCCAGAAGGCTAGGGGAATGGAAGGAAAGAAGAAAACATTTCATGATAGCAAAATAGGAGAAGGGAACTTTTAATTGAAACATTGAAAAAAATTATTTTCCTGTTCATTCCCTGTTCTCTGTCGGGAATGCCTTCTTCCGGCTCACCTCACACCACTCATCCACATTCTTCCTAGGGTTATTGCTACTCATTTTTTGAGACTTTATTCAGACACTGCCTCCTTTATTTGGACTCTTATCTATGCACAGAGAAACACTTTGTATTTTGAATTGAAATTATTGGTTTAATTTCTTTCTTCCATAATAGACATTAAGCTCTTTCTTGAGAGCACAGAAAATTGTCTTTTTGGCTTGATTTTAAATTCTCAGAACCTTATACAGTGTATGACATATAGTAAACTTTCAATACATGTAGAAATTAAATGGATAATAGAATATAAGGGAATTGGCCAGGCACAGTGGCTCAGGCGGGTAATCCCAGCACTTTAGGAGGCTGAGGTAGGTGATTCACTTGAGCTCAGGAGTTCGAAACCAGCCTGGCCAATGTGGTGAAACCCCATTTCTACAAAATATACAAAATTAGGCGGGCATGGTGGTGCATTCCTGTAGTCCCAGCTACTCGGGAGGCTGAGGTGGGAAGATCACTTGAGCCCAGGAGGTTGAAGCTGCTGCAGTGAGCCAAGATCATACCACTACACTCCAGCCTGGGTAACAGAGACCC